GGAATTGTTATGATTGATAAATGGGAAACCCGTGTTGGAGAAATGTCCTGTGTTGTGGCAGCGATTTGGAGTACATATGGTTTATGTACTAAAGCATCCGCAATATGTGTTTCACACACATCATCATACATGCGAGATTAAGATTCGCCTGATTCAACTCACGTTATCATCGCGACACAAGCATAGATGTCAGTGTCAGTGGGATGGTGGGGCCACTGAATCTCGTGGACGACAGTGCTCTCTCTCTCTCTCTCTCTCTCTCTCTCTCTGTGTCTCTGTAAACAAAACCTCTCTCTCTCTCTCTCTCTCTCTCTCTCTCTCTCTCTTTTGCATGCGCGTGGTGGATTCCCAGCGACCATACCACCACTCATCCCGACGAGGGAAGCCAATCACACATCCAAATAAAACGCACATACATCAAAAAACGATGATATCTATGCGTGCAGCCACTGAAAGAAGTGAAAAAAGATAAACAAAAGACAAAAGCAAGACAAAAAAAAGATAAACAAAATGCTGAAGCAAGACGAAAACAAATGAAGAGCATGGATAAGGAGAATCTGCAAAGCAGCTGCCGGGGAAAAGTTGGGAAACATGTCCACCAAGACGATGCACGTCGTGCATCACAGGTGTTCCAAGTGGAAGTAATGCCACACCACTCTCTCTCGAAATGTGCAAAATGAGAACGAACTTCCTGCTAGAACATGGGCAGATGCACCCCTCACATTTTTGTCTTGTTCATGTTTCCAGAGTGGTGTGGCCAGGCCCATGCAGTCATCCTCGACGGGCACGGAGAAGGATGACACCAACCGTGGAGGGGAAAGCTCAGGGCCATGGCCATGCAACACACGTGGCAACTGTACGGAAAAAACTGACAAGGCTCACTGTAGAAAACCAAAAAGAAAAGTCAAACAGTGCGGGCTGGCCGTAGGAAAGGACAACATGATGTCCGTTCGGTTGGACATTCTATCAGGCCGACGTGCCACACACCCGGGTACCAGTACGAGCTGGCAGTAGGAACGGACATCGTTAAGTTGGACCTTCTATCAGGCCGAGGTGCCACACACCTGGGTACCGGTACAAGTACCTGAATTATCACGAAAGGACAGGGTGACTCAGCAGGCTTGGCAAAAAACGGCGCGCAGGGCATATTCAGGCTCGGCTTCCATAGCTTTGCCAAGTACTGGAGAAATACAAGGAAGCTGGGTCAGGACGAGGAGTGTGTCAAGAAAATGGGGTATATAGATTTTGGCATTCACAAGGGTCGTGATTGTCTGTATCTGACCGTAGTTTTGGGTTTGTGGGTTAGAACGAGGAGTGTGTCAACAAAATCGGGTATATAGATTTTAGCATTCACACAAGGGCCGTGATTGTCTGTATCTGACTGTAGTTTTGGGTTTGGTAATCTCCGACCCGGACACTGGACATTTCCGGACTGTTTCCCGGGCCATTGTCTGGACCGGTCCGGACTGTCCACCCGGACTGTCCACCGGACAACACCGGACACCGGACAGTCCGGACATGCATCTGAGGTCCGGGGATGTCTAGACCGAAAAAAAAAAAAAAGTGCGGGGGGTGGAGGGGGTGTCGGAAGGAACTCACCTGCTTTGCACTTTGGAGGAAGTTCACGCAGCAGAGCACCTGTCTTGATGCAAATCAACAACCACATTGAAGTACCAAAGATGCA